GGCAGTTTTGGAAAGGTGACCTCGTGATGGTGTTTGAATTGCTCCTGAATGTAGAATTCAAAGATAGCATTACAAACCCAATTAGTTTTAGATATTTTATTGTTAAAAGAACATGGTATATGCAGAATGTTAAATTTGAGTGAAGGAGAATGCTGCATCACCATTTATAAGCACGATGGAAAATGAAGATCACTGACCAGACTAGAGAACTCTTCCAAGCAATACAACTGAAAGACTGATTTAATTGATGGACCCCCAAGCTCTTGGCTACAATCCATTTTGGTATCTCTGGGACTCACTGGGTGGGGAACATGGTTAGCAAAAATAGGAATGTCATTGTTTATTGGTTTTATACTTTTATTGATTGGTATAGCCGTTGTCCATTGTATGATCATCCGTACTATCTCTCCCCATTCCTCTTTCTTTTCTCCTTCTGTCCACTATGTGAAAGTCACCACCCTTGAAGAAGATTTGGAGAGAGCAACAGAAGAAAAATTTATATTTTAAGTCATGGGGTGATGTGAGGAATTGGATTTTTTAATTGCCTTAAAACATTTCTGCTGGAGCAAGCTGTGCAATCCTCCTACCAGGGGACTGAAGATAAGGCTGAAGGGAGGAAGCCATAGCCCACAAACTGATTTATAGAGGTCCTAGGGGCAAATCTCTAGGTGTGCGATGCTTATCTCCTGTGAGCCAGGCCATGTCAAAGGAGGCCCAGTGTGCACACACCCACCACTACCCCAGAGAAGGCCTCTTAGCAGGGCTGCCTGTGAAGCACCTCCCAAGCCTAAATGACTATACAAAATTCATCACCTCCAGCCTCTGAAAAACAGCATGACTGCAAAAACAGCACTCCCCCCACACAGGGGAAGCACCAGGTTTCTGAGGGTGTTTAAACCCATGGGACTATGTTTTGTGGACTTCTTTCCCCCACCACTCCCCGACAGTTCAAGACATCAGCGACAACCAAGTTCATTGAAGACCTCTGAGTGGTGACTATAAACTCTTACTTTTTGTCTCTTCCCTTCTCTTTTCCCTTTAACTCTCATTCTTTTCTCTCTTTTCCCTTACACAGTTTCTTGGGTGATATCTTTATATTTTTATATTGCCATATTACTATAGATCATCATAACCAAAATGGCTACATACATTTTCCTTTGCAACCAAATTGTTCTAAAATAAATCCTATATATATATATATATATATATATATATATATATATATCTGTAAACACTGATCATCTAGTATCAATTTACTTTAATTCACCCCAAGGGATTTAGTAGAGAAACCCAAAAGTTGCTTCTGCCTTGAGGGGGTGGGCTGTAACAGGTGGGACCTTCAAACATTAGGATAACACATTTAGCAAAGGCCAGCTAGTTATTCAGCACCAGAGGATCTGCCAATTGGGCTGGCCCTGCCCAATCAAAAATTTTACGTACTGTAGAAAGGGATGAAGTTCCTGTACTGCAACTAAAAATATGCTGGGGAAAAGAGCCTGGGTTATTCCTGCATGTACATAGTTGCTGTCTGGGCACAGACACCACCTCCTACACTGTTTCCTCGCCACTGTATTGTATTTCCAGCAGACATCTGGTAAGTTGAAGTCCCTTGCAAGAACAAATGCTAGTGCTTTTGAGATTTCTCCCAACTACTTATAGAATGGTAGTGTGCACTTCAGTAGTACCCAGAGTATCTTAAAATGCGTTCAAGAGGTATTGCTATGTATTTCTGAAAAGAAAGTAGTTAACCAAGCTTTTCATGTATCTGCATTACAAATAAAGAAAGGTTTCCAGACATTTATTTCTGGAATTGTACACCAGGTAATAAAGTACAACCAATACAAAATAATGCTAAAAAAAAAAAATAAAATCAGTGTTTATGTACAAATATTGAAACCAATGGAACAAGAGTGACTTCCTCTTGAACATCTGATATTAAATTCATGTCCCGATTGTCACAAAATTTGTTGTTATGCACAAGGTACTTTGAATAACTGGAATCTGTTTTATTAAGAGGACTATAGCCATACCTTCTGTATTTTACAATTGATAGTATTTTCCTTCTTCCAATGAAAAATAGGAATAAAAAAATAGTAACCTTGTCATTATAAATTACTGTACTTAGTTTTCCCATCTGTAGACAATGTGCTTGTAGTGCTGGGCAAATAGTGTCCCCGTTGGTCAGTTTATACATTTAGTTTACATTCAAAGTTGAAATACTCACCTAAAGACTTTGGTTAAATTAAGTACTATCATTATATTCTACTTGATCTGAAGTTTTCATACATTTTTGATCCTCAGTTTTAAAAGTTAAAAACAGGAAACAATTACACAACTCATTGACCTAATAGTACACAATTTAGTACTTTGACCATGACAAGAGGAAAACTAAACCTTTAAAAACCAAACATGAGAAGATGACACACAAGTAACCAAAGTAAAAGTATTGCTATAATCACAGCACCAAGTTACACTTCTAAATGAATCAGCTATCCTCTTCAGATTTCCTGTACATTAAAAGGATACATTTACCAACACTGCAATCGTCCATTATGGATTTTTGGTTTGTTTGTATGAAGAACAAGTATGGCAGAGGACAAAGAATTCATCACAGTTTGTTATAAGAATTGTGCTTTACCATCAAAGAACCAAGGCAATATAATTTCTTCATATGGTTGCAATTCACTTATCTTCATGCTGCCTTTCAAAATGCAATTCTTTTAATAAACAGTAACAAGTTCTCCATTTTAAATGTTTAAACTGAGAGAAAAATAATTAAGTCCAGCTTCTAAATGAAAAATTCAATAAATAGCTATTTTACATGGATAAACTCATCATGGTACAAATTTATGAATGTCACATCAAGCATGCACAAAAGTGTTACTATACACACAAGTAGTCAGAAAATATTGAAATAGGTATCTAAAAAGATATGAAGAATATTTACAGAATCTTGCAAATTATTGCCTCATTTTAACAAGGAATTAAAAGTAAACAATACCAGCTAGCTAGCCAACAAGCTAAATAAGATCAGCATTTAAAAAAATCTATTAGACTAGCTGGAATTAATTTTTCTCCCATAAATTTCTGAATTTTGGTCAAAAGTCTTTATTAAATAACTAAAGTGTCCATTCAACTTGCTGCCAACTCAAACCTTCGACAAGTCTGTCTACATTAAGAGCCCAGCAATGCATAGATAAATTGAATATATTACTGCATCAGCTAATAAGAATGGGCATGTTCATTTAAATGCAACTGTTATAAGCATTCAGTCATCTTTGTATAATGATTTTTATACAGACCAGTCACTCACTGTAAACCCATAAACTTGAATGTATAACAACAAAGGATTATGACCAGTATTTTACAAAATTACATGAAATGTTTTGATTCATAAAGAAAAGAAACAAGGTACGCAGTTCAGCACAAAACACAGCAACAAGAAGCTGACAACTTGTCTTAAAATGTCAGAGTACAACACAGGGCCAAGGCTACCCATTATTGACTGTGTACTTATTAGAATTACATATTTCAGATGTATAAGTTAAGAACTGATGGCAACATTACTTTTGTCCACTGTGCTAAACTAATTTGTTTTAATACGGTAAATGTGCTATTGCATAAATGCTTCAAAACAATCTTCATTGCAGTGCTGTAAAGAAAACTCCATACACTGCATCCATAACTCAGGATGTCAATGCAGTTCACAGTATGCATAATAAATACCCTCTTCCCTTTCAAATATTAAAGTCACTACTTTTTAATTACTCAGCATAACCTTGAAGCAACTATTGCAAATATCAACAACGCAAGTTTAATCACTTCAATAATCAAAACAAGTTTATGGCAATTAAATTTGTAGTATGAACAGTGCAAGGAAAAAGTATGGAGGGAAAGAGGTAATCCTACTGAAGTAATGGTCTCTCATAAGAATTAGAGCAAACATTTGAAAGACAAACTTCATGGATGGCTAAATTGCACTCAGTGATCAAAATAAAAATATATTGAAGTTAAATAGTTGCTTTTAGGGGAAACATTTTTACTCATCCTTTTCTTCTATTTGACCAAGGTAGCGAAGTGCCATTTTTGAGCCAATGACTTGCCAAAACAAATAAACACAATCCACACTGAAGAAAAACTTTCAAATACATACTTCAAGGTTCTACTATTTCTATATAAACTAGATAGTCTCTCAAAATTGTAACACTTTGAACTGCAGTGCTCTAAACAATCTGTCTTCCAATACGTAGTCTGTTTAGTGGTAAATCCAAAGATGTGCAGACTGTAGCTTTATACATCAGCTGCCTTAGCAAAGTTACACGGGAGCAATAATCTTCAAAGTTGTGGACAAAACCTATCTGAATACAATAGCCTAAAATGTATCTGTTTAAGTCAGTAAGTTTAAAATACACAGATACCTCTGGCAGCGTAATTACTTCTATGTAAGGGAGCCGTGGCCTATAACTTTGCAACAGCCTCCAAGTGTAGGTCTTCATACTTTACTCATGTTAAATCCCTTGTGCTACCTTCCACCAAGATGAAATTGCTGTTTTTTAAACTGAAGTGCTCTAGTTTAGTATCACATAAGAGAAGGTTCCATTTAAAAACATTCTTGTATGTTTGTGCAGTTAAAGAAACTCATCCCTGTCTTTATAAGAAAAAAAAATTAAAATAAAATGCTACATTAAGCAGGGATCAGGAATGGTATGTGTAAACACTGTTATTACACTGCATCCGTTATGGCAAAAGTAACTTTGACTAAAGAGCCACTCCAATCAGTTCAGAACTTCTGTGCTGGTTTTGAAATGGTAGCCTCTCTCTACAGGCTTTAAAAGAAATTTGAAGCAGAGCTTAAAGCTGCACCACAGAGTTCTCTTAGTTCCAAACTCTGCCAAACATTTCCGCATTTATCAACTGAAAAAAGAAATTACTCTTGATAAATCAAGATATAGTTCTATACATAAAAAGACATCACTGATGTCAAAGTTCAAACTTCCAGTGAAAGACTAAGCAAACCTGATAGCTCCCATCAAGTTTACTATTACTGCATAAAATACCCACTGTTTGTTTAGTTTTCCACAGTCATTCTGAGTGAAGGGCTGTATGTTGGTGAAGAGCGTGGGTGTTTATAAAGCCATTTGTCTCATTTGCAGATAGACTGCTGAAGTCAGCCACCGAAACAGCCATTTTGGCACTGGTAATATGGTGTGTGTGGTTCTCAAAGTCCACACCAAGGTTATTTACTGAGACATCATTCATGAAAGATTCTGGGACAGCAATTCCCATTTTCAATCTCTTCGTAGGTCTTTCTGTCTCTTCACTGCACATGTTCATAGGGTTTAACTCTGAGGGATAAAAGCCAGTCTCAAATAAATTAAAACAATCACTTTCACCATTGCTAGGCAAGTTAAGTAATTCTTCTGTTCCAACAGGCACATGATTAACTGCTGCTCGAGGTAAGTTGTCCATAGGAGGGAAGGCATCATCAAGGCAATTCACATCTGAAGTGTGGCAGACTGTAGCTACACTGTTTGTCAATGCTGGAAAAAAAGATGAACATAAAATGTAAATGAAATAGTTATTTATATAGTTACAACAAAAAGTTTGTGGGTTTTGTTTGTTTTTTTTCTTTGATTTACCTGTCAACTCATTGGCAGTGATAGAGTTCAGAATGCTTAGCTGTTGATCAGGAATGCTTTCTGTTCGAGTATTAGATGTTAAGGCTGAAGTATGTACTGCTCCACCAAGGGCTTCTGCTTCATCTACCAAACGATCCATGTAGTCACTTAAAGAATATGGCATTCATAATGAGTTATTTAATAGGAAAACAAGGCCTAAAAATGATGATGGATTTATTTTCAGTTGCCATAGCCACCGCAGCATTGCACTGCAATGACGGGAAGAAAAAACTAATCTTCTACATTTACAATTTGCAACAGAAAACATATTCTGAGGACATTTTACTTACGTAACTCCAGGATGATGGTTATATCTCTTCTTTCCAAATCTTGTTTGCTGAGCAAAGTAATCATAACGTTCTGACTTTTTCCACATGTAATAGAAAGCCACACACTCAGCAACTGTTCTGGTTCTTACCTAAAAGAAGTCAAGAAGAATTGACAAGATAAATGCAAAGCATTATGTTTTGTCATCTCCCTAGTCCCCATATTCCTGCGATATTGTTACTTTTGCTGTTCTAGTATCTGGAACAAACCAATTAAATCAGAAGACCTGAAAAACCCATTTACACTTTCAAATTTCTTTACTGAGAGGGTGCTCAAACACTGGAACAGGCTTCCTAGAGAGGTGGCCAATGGCCCAAGCCTGTCAGTGTTTAAGAGGCATTTGTCCAATGCCCTTAATAACACACTAACTTCTGGTCAGCCCTGAAGTGGTCAGGCAGCTGGACTAGATGATCGTTGTAGGCCCCTTCCAACAGAAATAGTCTATTCTATTCTAAATAATTACTACATCTGTTCTATTGTAAACATTACTGTTGTTTAGGTTTGGGTTATTTTTAAACTAGATTGAAACTGTAACTACATCTGAAGCATTTCAGTTCATAAACTACATAGTAATTTTTTTAACTATGAGAGACAGACTCTCTCAAGATGGAAAACACTGAGTAAAGGAATGACCAAAGAGAAGTGAAGCAGAAAAGATGTTGGGTACTTATAAAATTCTGGTCCATAGTGACATAGATCAACTCATATGCTTTGTTGCACATTGGAAAAACTATTATAAAATTATTTCTTTGTATCTCAGGGGAATTATTGTTTATGGGTAAGGTCCATTTACAATTTGAACCACCCAAATATTTATCGTAGAACAAGTTAAGTCAAGTGTTGAACAGGACTATCAGACTGTTGTTGAACAGCAACCACAACCCTATAAAGTTTACCTGAAATACAACAAAAGCACCAGTCTCCTAAAGAAAAAACTTGTTGTGGTTTAAGCCCCACCAGCAACATGCAAAAAACCCCAATTGTTCACCACCAACCAACTGATGGCCAGTCAGTCCCCAAGCCACAGCAGCCCCCACCCAACAACCTCCACCCCCAAATTTTATTACTGAGTATCATGTCATATGGTATGGAATATTCCTTTGGTCAGTTGGGGTCAGCTGTCCCTCCTCCCAGCTTCTTGTGCGCCCCCAGCCTACTCACTGGCAGGACAGTCTGGGGAGCAGAAAAGGCCTTGACTCTACACAAACCCTGTTCAGCAATAACTAAAACATTAGTGTCTTATCAACACTGTTTCCAGCACAAGTCTAAAGCATAGCCCATACTAGCTACTATGAAGAAAATTAACTCTATCCCAGTCAAAATCAGTACAAAACCTCAAGGTGGTATCAAAACATATAGGAGATGTACAGAAAGTTTGGAAATACCCATAATGACAACTGTACCAAGTGATATACATACTTGGTTAAAAAAAAAAATCCAATTCCTATTCTTCAGCCACAGAGGAATCAAGCAGAAGCAATTCAAATCAAGATTAGAACTCCTTTTTTGGCCAGAAACCTGGATGGTACTGATAGATGACTACACTTTCTGAAAACACAAAGAGCTAAGCCCCTGTAGAATTACACCTTCTGAGTGACAAAATTATTTAAAGATATGTTTTCCCCTCCCACAGCCATGGTATGAAAATAATACACTTCTAGGAGAGGCAGACATTTTATCTAAATTATAATATAAATGCATATATGGAAGCAATATCAACTTAAGTTGATTTCAGAGATAATATATTGACTCATGTTGCAATGCCTAACTTTTCCAATGGCATCAGAGGCAAAATTAGCACAAAAACACCAAGCTGGTTTTAATATGTTGGCTCTTATTTCACTCTTTGCATAGCTTCTGAAAGATGCATTACTTTTACAAATATTCAGTATCTACCAATTCTTCCATTTAACTGTAAAATACTAACCTTATTTTTCTGTATGAGATGAAAGTCTTTTCCATAAATCAGAAGTGCATGTTCAAAGCTTCTGCATTCTTCTTCTGTCCACGCTGTCATCTCTTCTAGACAATTGCAAAAGTAGCATGATAAACTTATTTTTGCTCATTAACCTTTTACAGAGAACAAAATATTTGTGTTGCTAATGCCTGAATACCCAAACACACTCTAAAAAAAAAGTAACAATTCCATTATTTAGATCAATGTTCTTTCCTCTACCGTACAGATATCCTACCTGAAATCTAATATTTCTGTTTATAAAGACTCATAAAAGAGTCTGATTTCTGAAATCTTTTACCCTGGAGGGCAAAGGACATTCAAAAGACTTGATTTATGATTTCTTAAAAAGTTTGTCATCAAAAAAACAAGATTTGATAACATGACTAAGATAACAGTGGGATTATTTTCCTGAATATTCCTTCTTGCCATCAGATGCAATGAACGGTGACTATTGGAAAAAGTGTGAAGGAACCTTTTGGAAGACAGAAGTGAATTTTAGTTTTACAAATTAAAGGAAACAAAACAAAAAACACTGAAAAGGAATAAGAGTTTTAAAACAAAGTAGCTCAAACTATTTGAGTAAGTCAGTTTTGTCTCAAGTATTGTTTCTTCCTTATCTTGATTACGGTTTTGTATCTATATATAATAAAAGAGGGATATTTCAGGCATCTTACATTCATAATAGTGATCTGTTCAGCTGTCATTTAAAGCCAATGGGGGTGGAGAACAAAAAGACAACCAACAAACAGATTTCAAAACATTTCTGGAAGCAGACACTGGAACAAAGGCCTTTCTGCTTCCAGATGAAGGTGATAATCATTCCATTACAAGGCCATTAATTTTGCACTCCTTACTACAGAATTCTCAAGCTCCAAAGAGGAGATCCCCTGTTATGAAATTATCTTGGGAGATGTGGATTTTTAACTCCTATTGAGAATAGCAGTGAACTTCAGCGGGTAGAGTACATCATTGCACAATGGTTACTTTAAGAGACAAGCATTAACAGTATTATCCCCCTTCACCATTTTTAATGAGAGTATAAACCCCATCTGTCTTGGTGCCTGGGAGGGGATGAGTACTAGTCCTTAGGACAGAATTTGGGGCTCTGACACACAATCTCTTCTTGTAAAAGAGTTTTCTGAAACATCGCTTTGATATTCCTTATTGTTCCCTTCAGTTTCACCTTTGATACTTAGCTTTCACAGCACCTAACTCATAAACACTCAAATTCCCCTTGGATCCAGTTCTGAGTAGAGAATATCTGCGAGAATACAAATTTATACCAGGACTCATAGTCTATTTCTGCTTTATGGAGCATGTTAAAATACAGGACAAAGAACTGCCTTTGCTAAATGATACACACTGATTTTTATTTAAAGGAGTAATAAAGTTAGGGACAAACAAGATAGAAGCTTGTTTTCCACTGTTAACTCAAGCAACAGTAGAACCAGTTTAGGGTTGACATAGCACAGTGTTATCATAGTGATGAAGAGTGGGGCTCAGTCATTATCAGCTATTTTTTCCTGATTATGGTATAAATGTCGTCAGATTATAATTGACCATGATCTCAGAAAGGCACTGTAATGTGGGAGAGAACTGCCTTATGGGAGCAAAATCACAACTCCTCCTCCATCCTTCTCCTCAGTGTGTATCATTCTTAAAACAGCAAAGGAAACAGAGGAAAGAAGGAAAGAAAAGATGTAAAATCTGATCCTGCAACCTTTATACAGGTTACAAATTTCTCCAGCAGAAATCTAAATCTGACCAAAAGTCCAATTATACCTAATCTGAGTTATATACCTAATGGGAATTATTGAAAAACACCGGAAGGACAACACAGTCATTGGTCACAGTCAGCACAGTATCATGAGAGGAAAATCCTGCTTGTCAAACTTAATTTCCTTGTAGGACAAGGTTCCCCACCTAGTTGATCGAGGGAAGCCAGTTGATGTCATCTTTTTGGATTTCAGTAAAGCTTTTGATACTGTCTCTCCCAGGATCCTTCTGGACAAACCGTCCAGCCCACAACTGGATAAACACATCATGCAGTGGGTGAGCAACTGGCTCACGGGTCAAACACAGAGGGTAATAGTGAATGGGGTGACATCAGACT